ATAATACAATCATGAATAATTGTACCATAAGGTAGATTCTTTTTACACGCTTTACAATAAGTATGAATATGATGATTCTCAGTATCACAGGTGAAAGTACATTGAGATTCACCTTTGGTAATAGGTTGATTAGCTATAACTGATTTAATCTTAATATTTTCACGATATATATCTTCCATTTCATCCTTTGGACTTTCGTATCCAACTGCAGTAATTAAGAGTACATTGGAAAACTATTGAAGTAATTTTTCCTCAAACCATTTTTCTTCATTATCCTTAATAGAGTTATGTTCAGAAAAATGTGCCATTCGTCCTCAGATTTTTCAATTTCCTCAGTGGTTACCATGAAGACTTCATGTACATTATCTTCATATTTTTGGTCATTATTAATTCGTGAAAGGGCATCAGCATTAGCATTTAGTTTTCTGGGCCTATACTTAATTTTGAAATTATATTGTTGGAGTTCCATGATCCATCATGCTCTCCTTCCATTAGGAATTTTTGAAGTTTGTAACCATTTAAGAGCTGAGTGGTCGGTAATAATAGTAAAAGATTGTGAACTTAAATAATGGTGAAAGTATCTCACAGCCCATACAACCACAAGATATTCTTGATCAATTATTTCATAATTTTGCTCAGCTTTATTCATACTTCTGCTGGCATATGCTACCACACAATCAAGCCCATTTTCCAACTTTTGGGAGAGAACAGCTCCTAAGCATTTCCAGAAGCGTCAGTATATAAAATAAATGGTTTATTAAAATTTGGATACTGCAAAATGGGTGCAGTAATTAATTTTTCCTTTAGGATATCAAAAGCTTTTTGTTGAGCATCTGTCCATAAGAACGGTTCTTCCTTTTTCAACAGTTGAGTTAAAGGTTTGGCAATTTTTGAGAATCCTAAAAACAAATCGTCGGTAATATGAGAATAATCCTAGTGCAGACCTCAAACTTGTTAGGTCAACTGGAATGGGAAAGCTTTTAACTTTATCAATTTTTGCAGGGTCGGGTTGTAATCC